TAACACGAACATAAATACTACCTACAAGACATTCAGAAAGGTTTCGTGAATTCTTTGACATGGCCTCTCAGTTCCATATCGGAATTATGGACTCAGTTACATAGTATCGACATCATCATCAGACGGGTTTCTTCACCTCCAAAAGTCGTTCTTGTGGTCTCAGTCCGAGCAAGTGTTCCCCTGTCTGTCTGCTCCGGCTATATATGAGACGTTAGCCCAAAATATCCCTCCTCAGAGTATATTCGAGATGAACTATTTTCAGAAATGACCTTAGCTTCCAGGTCGACCCAGCCTTGTGTGGGTACCGGGTGCAGTCCCGGGAAGTAAAGGCGGCCGGTGTTATGCTGACCACATCACCCATCTTGTACTGGCTGGTCTATACAAATATAGGTCTAACCCTATATACCCTATACGCCTAGAGGCGCGGAAAAGGGGTCCTTTACTTTGCTTTACTTTTACAGAGTATATTCAGCCTAATTCTCTTCTGCGTTCTCCTCTGTACATAAGTTTATTAACCTGTGTCTGTCCTGCTAGCCATGACAAATGTCACTGGGAAAGGCCTCTAAGGTTAGTTAATACACGTTAGAAAGAACCCCAGCATCATGTATAGGTAGGTGCCTTTGTTTACTGACATGTCTCCCACCTCGCCTCCTTGCCCCTTCTCTGAATTTGTGACTGGGATTTCCAGCCTTCGTTAGCGTTGCTTTATAAGTTTCACATCCAGGTTTTCGGGGCAAGTTTCTCGGTCATTGACTTTATGTACCCTCTTGTAATAATTTAACAGAAAATACAAGCTCGCTGTCTTAGATGACTGTTTATTTTTGTACTTAGTGGTGCTTCCCGTGTGTGTGTGTGTGTGTGTGTGTGTGTCTCAGCATTGTTCACTTATTCTGTCTAGCTTCCTGTCTTTTGACCAATTACCGTCTCTCATTCTCTCAACTCTTCTCATGATTGCAGACTCTACCTCTAGATCCCCACTTTTTCTCCCTCTCCCAATCCCCTTTCTCATCGCGCGCGATGTCTTTCATTTTGCGGTCTTTCTTTCTTTTCACTATTCTTTCGTTTGCTTTCTTGATCATTTATCGTCCTCTTTCTTCTCTCTTTCTCTCTCAACATCCCCCTCCTCTCTTTGTCTTTCTCTGCATCCCCTTCTTCTCTCTCTCTCACTCTCCACCCGCCCTCTTTTCACGCTTCTCCAACCCCCGCCCCTCCCCCCACCGGCATAGATGGATACGTTTGTGTGTTTTCAACTTGATATTGATTGTGCATATTTTTGTATAAATATTACATGCTTTTATTGATAACATAAATTGTTGTCTGAAAGATGAATGGGAAGCCCGGACTTTTGCGCGTGTTATCTGACCCTGTTTAACCTGTATTTGAAGGTTATAAGGAGGGTGTTTGATTTTTTTTTTTTTTGGCTGTACTTTTTTCGTGTTCATGAAGCTTGCGGATGATTTGGCGCATCTTTTTCAGGTAATCTGGTAATCCTAGTTTCAGCTTCATAGCAAACGGGTCACCCCATAGTTGCCCCGCTCCTGTGCCAACGAAAAATACACGTAGCTCACAGTGTCACGCCATGCACTCAAACCCAGAAGCTGTTTTGGCCGACTTTCATCAGCTTGCATGTCTTGGTTGTTTTTGTTGAGAGTTGCCGCCAACACCGTCCTTCATCTTACGGATTTGCGTGAAACATTAAAGTTCATTCGTTTGTTCGTCCACTCGCATTCACCTTGCTTACCGTCGAATGATGAAATATTGTTCATGTTATTTATGACCTGACGTTTCTGCAGCGCGCTAGGCCCTGAAATCCGTTAATGAATCGTAAAACTGTCTGGCTGTATTCGCGTAGAAGTTGTTGCGTTATGTATGCGCCCCCCCCCCTCCCCCTTCTTTCCATTCGCGTGTTTTACTGTTGTTGAAGTAGTCAGTAAGTCGTCGTGTGGAGTTGAGAAGGAGTTGTGTGTAAGTGTAAATACATTATTTGGCTATGATTAATAGACAGACATGTGCGCGTTAGCGCAGTCGATAGGAGGCTCGCTTTCAAATCCAGCTGCAGTCCATGGCTCATTTACACAGACTCAAACAGCAATATGCAGTTATAAATGCAACACAAAATCAGACAGAATGCTATAGAATTCTCTCTATAAATATTGAGAATTCTAGATAAAAGGGCTTGCCTTTCCTGTCTTCCAGATATTCCACTGGGTGTTTTCTTGGACAGCATGTCCTCAAAATCACAGCATTTAATACTGCTGTGTATAAGTAAAATGATACATTAATAACATCATGAATAATACATCAATAACCTGAAAACAAAATTCAGCACTTCTACAACAAGCAAACATTATGAATTATAGAAGTATGAGCATGAGAAGAACAATGTCTCCTATGAAATGTTACCACTGAAATGTTACCATTATCTACACAAACTCTGATAACCAGCCATAGATCATTCATCTACCAGCAATAGAAGATAGATAATTTCTTAAGAGTCTTAGATACAGCAAACAGAAGTAACCTCCTAGATACCGAACAATAGGAATCAGGAATAGATCATAAAGAAATGGTTTCCTGTCTATGTGCAGAAATGGGTCAGCGTGGTTTTTCCTCTGTCTGGTACAATTCTAATATTGTACACGAAATGCGGCCCGAAAACTGAAATCACGATTTAATTAACAGTTACTGTGCTCACCTGGATTTAGATGTAACTATATGGTCATGTTGCTAGGGTTTTTAGGCGGCGAGAAAGACAAAGTTCTGCCAAAACGGCCCGCTCTAACACCTGCTTGCTGACCTGAAGTAAAATGGCTGGCCGTCTGCTCTCACAGCGGGATCCGGTGTTTGGCCAGGATTTTTCCGCTACGTTGCCGAGTTACTAGCCGTATATTTTTATACGTGAAAGCTCAGGGGAATTACAAATAAGACAATGGAAAATCCCCAAACAGCAACCGTAGGCTATAACCGGGATATCTCTCAATGCGTCTTATGACGAAAATGAAGTCACTGGGCGCATGTAAGAGGGAAAAATAGAAGGGTCACAAAGGGGTGGTACGTCAGCCAAAAGTATCTTGTCTACTTGAAGCGGCGTCTCGCGACAGTACTGATGGCAGAGCACTTATGGTTTATAACCTTGTGCAATGACGCTGGTTCACATCTCCAGACTTTACCCGTTTACCTTTAGACGGTCATGTCAGTAGATAGGGGGTAGATAGGCAGACAGTGGGATAGGTAGATAGGTTGGTAGAGAGAGAGAGATGTGGGTGGGTGGACAGATAGTAGGCAGAAATTAATTTGAAGACAGAGGTGCTGTGATGGTTAAATATGGACAGAGAGAGAGGTGGGTGGGTGGCTAGACAGACAGTAGGCAGAAATTTGAAGACAGGGGCTGTGATGGGTAAATAATGACAGACAAACAGAGAGAGAGAGAGAATCTGGCGATGGAGAAGAATGTGAGCCGAGTGTAAATTGAAGCTGTATGTGGAGAGGAGGGTGTGTGTGTGTGTATGTCTTTTAGATGAGACGCTGGCTTTCTAATTTTCAAAGTTCTGTGCTGCTGATATGTAGCCACACCAAAAGGATATAACTAAGTAAATACGATACTCGGGTCACAGTAGTGTAGCTACCGGACTGCCAATTCGAAGGTCTAGGGTTCAAATCCTCAATGAAGCTGATTTTCTTCTTCTCAGAATTGAGTTCACTTCTCAGGTTGACCCAGCCTAGAACATGTGCTAAGTATTATCCTGGGACGAGGGTGATGTTGAGCATATCACTCTGTCGAGTGTTAATTGGTCTATAAATACAAATGTCTAGCACTGCATTCCTAATATTTTACAATATAAAAAAACAATACCCACAAACTTAAATAAATAATTCAACATCATCATCATCCCATAAGACTGTGTGTCCTTGGGTCAGCCGTTGCTGTTGACCATCTAATCAGCTGCCGCCACCTTTGAAGGCCAGATGCGATAGACTTCATGTTTGCCTGCATAAGGCCTGTACAGTAAATAATAATTGTTTATGGCCTGCGAATGCTACAAATGTCTATTAATGGCACTTGTCAGGAAAAGGAAGTTTTATATTGGGTGTCGAGCAATTTTGAAATTGAATACCATTTGTACTTGTAATAATCCATTTTACTAACATGTGTTTGTCCCCAGTGTGATTGTAAATTGAATATGTTTTAAAACTTGGTATAACTAAAAGCCAAGGAGATTTTTGTTTTCATAAGCAGTTTATGCATCTCCCGTTGCAAATCTAATTACTTTGATAATGTGCCTTCAATTATAGATTAAGAACACATTCTTGTTTCTTTTGTTATTTGACACTTTCATTTATGTGGATGTTTTTCTCTAAGTTCTTGTTAGAGTGCTTGGGATTTTCTATTTGTCCTCCTTTTTAGTACATTTTGTGTGTGTTTGAGTGGTTGGGTGTGTGTGAGAGTGAGTGGGTGGGATTAGCCATACACTGGGGTGAGGTGGGGGGGGGGGGGGGGGCACCTGAAGAAGGTTGGAGACCACTGCTCTATAACAATATGAGTACCCTCATATACCTGACAAATCTCTGGCATAAAAAGGGCTCTTTCTTTAAGTTTACTATTTACTATGTGGCCTATGAGGAAGTCGCCGTGGTGCTGGTGGCTAGACGCCCGCCTGCGGATCAGAAGGTCGTGGGTTTGCATCCTGACCAAGCCGGACTTTTTTTCTTCAAAAATGAGACTCCCTGGTCGACCCAGCCTTCGAGTGGATACCAGGTGCAATCCTAGAAAGTAAAGGCAGCCGGCGTGATGCTGACCATATCACCCACCCAGTGCCGATCAGTTTATAAAAATATAGGTCTAGCCCTATGTGCCCATTACACCTAAAGGCATGGGAAAAAAAGGACATATACTTGACTGTATGGCCTATGGACCTGGCATTCACCACCCTCGCTTAGATAATGAAAATCTTTACCATGAAACAATAATTAAATGTGATTAAAATTTGTTGTATTTGCAGAAACAGAGCCATTGCTGACTATCTCCACACAAACGGCTTTCTGAGTTCACTAGAACATTTTCAAAAAGAGGCTGGCATGGTATGTTAACTCCTTGTTAACTGGTGTCTGACGAAATTTTTTTTTTAAAAAATTGGTTACTAGAGTTATCCTGTTTGAGTAGTTTTACTGACTTACAAATTCTTAACTATCGCAGATATACATATCAGCATTGAAGTGGCCAGATACAAGCCGCAGTATCTGGTGGATGTGAAAAATACAAATGAGAAGCTAATAGTTAAAAGCCTGGAACAATACCCACATGAAAATCCAAAGGAGAAAATCAGTATAAAAAAGGAGTGTCTCAAAACTAATATACAAATAGCAAATACCAACTTACCACTGAAAGAAAACAGGAAGAATTGAATATGGATGACTGAAGAAATAATCAATAAGAGGATGCAATTAAGAACTGGGAAATACACAAGATGTGCAGAATTGCTAAAGAGACATGGATTCAGGAGAAATGTAAGGAAATGGAGGATCTAGAAAGTAATCGTAACACAAGAGAAGCGCAGGAAAACATAAGAAGCTCACAAACAGGACGGAACATTTAACAATAAATGGTGGCATCAGAGGAAATGATGGAGAAATTATAGTTGATAAGAATGATATAATTACAAAGTGGACTGAATACACAGAGGACCTTTTTTGGGACAACAGTCATCTATTAGAAACTCTATATCTTCAGCATGGACCAAACATTTGAAAGGCTGAAGTAGAGATGGTTAATAATTATAATTAAAAAATGTGAAGCATGGAAAAGCTACAGACCCTGACAAAATAACAATAGAAATGATAAAATCATTATCTAACTCTAGAATTGATAAAATTACTGAAATGTGTGTGTGTGTGTGTGTCTATGTATATATATATATATATATATATATTTAATGTATATATAATGCAAAAGAGTCGGCGTCTGTGGCATAGGCATTGCGAACGTGCTTCGTAATGCCATGAGACCGAGTTTAATCCCAGCAGCAGACGATTTGTCTTGCATTGTTTTCGACAGTGGTACTGAGAGCAGACTGTTGAGAAAGCAGTGGCAAGCTACTGAATGTAAAATTAGCCTAGAAAAATCACAAAGCCAAAAAAATTGCAGATCCAGAGGTCGACCACGCAGAATATGGACCGCAGATATATCAGAGACACTGAAAAGTACTTTATACAAAGCGAGCAGAAGGGCCTGTTCCAGAGATCTCTTTCTGCCCTGGCGCCGTGAGACATTCCAGGAGTAGAGAAAAGAAGAAGAAAGCTCTACAACGTCCTGTAAAGGATACAAAACTAACTTTATTGCCCAAGAAGTCAAAAGCTGTTGATTGTGAAGACTACAGATTAGTTAGTTTAATGAGCCATTTTAGTCCAATGCCTAGATGGGAATTAAACTAGTAAACTGTGACTAAAAAGGTTTCACAAAACAAACAATTATTGTTTCGGATGGGGCCTTTCTTCACTTTAACTAACTACACAACAACAACAAAAGGGAGAGTACTCCAGCTCCTGCCTAGAGGAAGGAAAAGCTTTTAAAATTCTTTTCACCTGTAAATTTATGGTTTTGTCACAAGCTTCCATTCTCTAACATCTATAGCCATTTCTAGTTGTTTTTCCTATGTATTGTGCTCTTTTTTAATTGTTTCAATTTCTACTTCGCTCATTATAATAATTTTTAATATGCAACTGAACTCCTCAGCCACAAGAGATAGACAAGAAATTTAATGGTCTTTTGGAAAAAAGATGGACGTCTGTGATAAGGCTTCAAAAAAAGGTAAGTTTAGTTTTTGTCATCAAGTTATAAAAAGGGTGTTTTTTTTTTCAAATTTTAAGTTATTTAAGTTGTAACCTATGCCAGGGAAAGTTGGGGTGCCACTAAAGACATGGAAGGAAAGCTAAATATCTGGAAAAAAAATGTGTCAACATTAAATGGGACAAATTCCAGAAAGGTGCAGAAATAAGAGAAACCTCTTTACAACAGCAGGTATCTACAGCTATAAGACCAAGATGATGGTGCTGTATTGGATGCAACCTGATAAGAAATGAGCAGAGAATGACCAGATGGGCATTAAAATGGGAAACAAATGTGTTGAGAAAACTAGGACTGTCAAGAGAAAAACTAAAATGAATGTTGAGAGAGGCCAAAGGTGCTGAAGGAATAAACTGGGAGCCCTGTGTTACATATAGTGGCACAGTATGATGATTATGGTGAAGTTAAAGCTTATCATTCATCTGCATACTCATATACAGCAAGCCCCCATTAACACAAAATCAAATGGGCAGCACATCGAGCTTGCATTAACACAAATTTGATTTGTGCTAACGGGAGAGCTACCTCTTTGAGTCCCAGAGGGTTTTTAGCATCACAGGCCCAAGGGGTAGTCAAGAGAGATGTAAAATTGGTGAATTATGTGTTCATTGGGCTTCTAGGCAGTAACCTATGATGCGTTCCTTGGGACTCAAAGAGTTAAAACGGTAAAACCTTCCTGCGAGAACCAAAATTGTGTTCATATTAACTGAGTGTTCTTCTGAACTCTTTCTGTCCCATGCAGCGCACTTTGTGTAAAGGTAAAGGTGAGATGATCAACTTCATTGCACCGGGTTTTATTCCATATAGCCCAGTCTCTCTCCCAGAATAGCTATCTGCCTGCCGAGGGGGTCACATAGAGCACGACCTCCTTAGCTCTGGTGACGATTCCCAGGTATCTCCATTAAAAATGGCACTCGTGAACCAACGGCCCCACCGTGAAATGAACCCACAACCGTGAGTGTGAGACAAATGGCTTGACCACTTTGCCCCGGAAACTCCATGTATGCTCAGCTTATGTCTGTATCAGCACGACACATGGTGTGTTAAATTTTTGCTCCATGTTTGGTCTGGGTGTGCACAGTAAATCTGGCCAAATATTTTCAACTCAGCTCAGTGAATGCTGTATCTTTGGAAGTCATACACTGATGACTTTTTTCATTTTGATTGTTGTGCCAACTTGTGTTTCTACTTTGACACCCTCTGGGACTGAGAGTATAAAATGAGTTTGTGTTAGCAACGTTTTACTGTATCTTGTTCCACTTGGTGGATGAAAAGTCTCGTGGTCATCGCTTGTGATGGATGAACAACAAACATTAAATTAACTCTTTCTTTACCATGCAGCACACCCATTTATGACCAGCTGTTATTCATGTGTATCAAGTAGTGGAGTCTGTGTAAGGGTTCCGGTGCATAGTTATGGGGACAACCAGCATAGACCCACTGCCTCCCCAACAAGAATGTTGAAGGAGTCAACTAATTTGGGGTGCATCTGCCCAAGCAGCAAGGAGTAATCAGCTGCACACAGAAAGCCAGTTTGGCAAGGCAGGCATCTGTTGAAGAAGTTGAAAGAACTGCAGCAACAGTAAATTTTTTTAAAAAAAACTGTTTAACAATGTGTCGAACATGAACCAACACCTGTATACTCTGTGTTACACAGGTAATGGATCTAGAAACCAAGCTGGCCGAGGCAGAGGAAGAAGTCAACAGTGGAGCCCCAACTAGAGACCGCCGCTCCCCTGGGGAGTGGATACCTCGGCCACCGGAACGCTACTGCTTGACGGGACATCGCAGTCCTATCACACGTGTGGTGTTCCATCCGGTGTTCAGCCTACTGGTCTCCAGTAGCGAGGACGCCACCATCAAAGTAGGTCCACTTGTGATGTTCTGTTCATTTTGTGGGAAGAATTGTGAAGAGTTTCCCACCCCCTGTGGGGTCCGGAGCTTTGCCCGGTTTTGATGTTCTGTTCATTTTGTAAGGACGAATTGTAAAGAGTCATGGTTTTCCCATCCCCCTGTGAGGTCCTTAACCCAGTTTTTAAAAATAATTTTGTGTGTGGTTGGGGGGGGGGGGGGGGGGGGGAGAGTGAGTTTAAGACCCACTGCCCCTCATAAACATATCGCAAAAAGGCAACTATTGAGGGGGATTTGTTGAAATCACACATCTTGGGACAAAAGACACCCATGTCGCAGTCTTTCTATAAACAGCAGTACAGCCTACCAACTGTCTAACTCTTTTAGTCCCAGTCAGGTGAGGGGGATGGTAGGAGAACCCTCCAATGCCCCCATTTAGCATGTTTTAAAAAGGTAACTGCTAATTAGGGATTTGTTGAAATGAGGAATCAGTAGAAAAAGAAGATTATTATGGCCTGGAGAAAATGATGCTCCTGATTGTAACCAGAGGGTCTGGCTGGCTCACTACACTCAGAGGAAAGGCAAGACGGACATATAACCAGATTGTGACCGGTGCGTCAGTATTGGAACTCTGTGCTGGCTGCTGACCAAAAGACCCACATGTCCCAGCCTCTCTTTAAACAATAACACAACATGCCAGCCATCTTTTTAACCCTATCAGTCCCAACCAACACGCCATGTGTAGTCAGTTATTGCCCAGTGGTAACAAACCATGAAGTATGGTTTCCACACCTTCAGGCTTATTGGGCATATAGGGCTAGACCATTTGGCACTTGATAGGTGATGTGGTCAGCATCATGCCAGCTGCCTTTACTTCCCAGGACTTTTTACCTGGTACAGGTTGGGTCAGCCTGGTAGACAAGATAATGTTTTTTAAAATAAATTTAAAAATCTAGCTCCATGCGGATTTGAACTCACAATCTTCAGATCTGCAGGCGGATGTCTAACCGCTATGCCAGGGCAACTACCATTGGGCATATGGTGCTAGACCTACAATTTGTATAGACCAGTGGGCACTCAGTGGGTGATGTAGTCAGCATCATGAGCCAGCCTCTACTTCCCAGTACATTACCTGTTAGCGATTTTAGGCTGGATCGACCTGGGAGCCAAAGTCAGCTTGGGAAAAAAAATTATTAGATGATGTAGATTTGTAGCCAAGACCTTCAGGCAGGCAGAATGTTGAATTTAGAATCAACATCACAGCACTCGGGAGGCTAATAAGCACTCCATCCCCAGCAGCAAGCGAAAAGTTCCAATTCCGATATCACCAGTAACTGTCTGATTGTATATCCGTCTCGCCCTGCTCCTGAGTGTTGAGTGTCTGGCAAATCCCCTGGTAACTCCTGCAGCCCCATTCTCCTGTAATCAATTATTGTTGGCGGAATCTATCGTCGCCTGGAGATCCCCTATATCCTTCCAAATAACCTACAGGGCTCGAATTAAATAAGTCTAGGGGAATTATAGCGGTCCCTAAGTTCTGGAAAATAAAGGAAGGAAAATACAGAAAGTTAAATGAATAGGGTGAATCCCCGGAAATTTCCTAAAGAAATTCAGAAAACAACCAAAGTCAAAACTTTGTAAATTTAACTCAATTGAATTACACTGAACAATCTTTAGTCTACCTAAGAAGTAAATTTTATACGATGAAATCGATAAATGGAGTTTCTAAACCACAACTGTATTGATAAAATACTGATATTGAATTCAACAATTTTCAAATTAACAAACAAAAGAAAATTAATGAATCATCATTTCACCACACAATGTACAATTAATAGAATTCTTCACTCAGCTTGTGACAAGTCTTGATGAGCTGAAATGTAGTTTCCTTTGGAGGAATGTCCACTGATAAACCGGCAATCAGGACTACGGGAACACGTTCCTCAAGCAACTAGGCAAACAGGCCAACTGGAATACGGGATTACAGTCTTCTGGTAACCAGGCAAGCAGGAATACGGGAACACGGTCCTCTAGCAACTAGGCCAACAGGCCAACTGGAATACAGGAATACGGTCCTCTGGTAAACAGGCAAGCAGGAATACGGGAACACGGGAACCTGCGGAATACATCATTCAGCCCTGTGTTGAGCATTATGTCGACACATCTGGGGCAGGTGGAGGTGTTGCGGTGTTTGTGGTGTTTTCAGATTAGTAAGGGAGAAAGCAAGGTTCATACTTTGTCTTTCTCCACGAAATATCTCAAATAAATCTCCCGACCCTGTTATAATATATTGTTTTATACATATCCAATTATTGCACGATCATATAAAACTTGACATAATTAAGCGGACACACATTCACCTGCGGATTGGACAGTCATTAGTTCAGGTCCCAATAGACCCAGGTCGACTTCGCCTTAACGGACACCAGGTATAGTAATGGGAAGTAAAGGCGGCAGGTGTGATGTTGACCACATCAACCCCCAGGTACCACTTGGTCTATAAAACCTAAGCCAACCCCATATGCCCACAATGCTGACGACTTTTACTCAAATCATGTGTTGCATAATATAATAAACATAGGCAATGTAATGTATACCCAACTGATGATACCCCATGGCACAGGATGATGGTTTCTACTATAAGATCTTTACGCAAGTAGACCGAATGAATATAAGAGTGACAGAGGGAAGACGGGTTCGCTATTGTATAGTCCTAACGGTGAATAGTAACCTTAAGAACGTCATAATAGGTAAGGACTAGTGAATTGTCCAACGGACAAGTATCAAGGTTGATGAAGTTACGGAATATTTATACAATGGTAGAATATAGAATAGTAGGATCTCAATAAAATATTTTAGGATACAGCTAAGGCTTATAGGGGATCTCATCTACTCCCTACCATTATAAATCTCACCTGAAATCGTATGGTATTATTATTATTGTTGGTGTTAGGCCGATGGTATGGCTGGCAATCGTTCTGTGTTGTTGTGACGAAACTAGCTCTAAGGGTTTCTCCTAGTAACACCACAAAACGTCATAAATTATGTGCGTCTTCGTACCTTTTTATTCTTTTAGCGTCTATGTTTAACTATATTTATTTTACGTGCGCAATTCTTTTAACTAAAACTTGCAATTAACTCTTGCCGGACTGAAATATTCCTTTGTTTTGTCACACTCCTCAGACAGTAATAATCTATCTCCATACTGTTCACTCACTCCCAAAAGGCCTCCACAGTTTTTAACTTGTCATATATCAGTTCATCACCAAGTGGTGTAGAGCCGGCCAGTATGCCTGCCTGCTCATTTCCCACCTCACCGGCATGACCTGGAGAAAATTTCCAAAGGAGACTAACTACCTGGGACCTCTGAATTGATGCTTGCTTTCAGGCAGGCAGGCCAGAATTTAGCTGTTGCACTATCTGAAACAGTATTCACCTGGGTTTCCCCCAGCTCTAGCCAGCACTTGGACAGATTGTGAATTGTTTGAATAAAATGTTTGTAACTCATGATGTGTTTATGCTCTTCTTAGCTTTCATTGGCGGTAGGTACACTCTCACCGAAAGTTATGCTTGTTTTTCCAGCTCTATACTTTATTAGTCTTCTTCCAGAGTTTTGCATGCACATCTGTTTGACAGACCTGGCTTACTTGTTTGCAGTCTGTTGGTTCCTTGCCTCTCCAGCAGATGCACTCTTGACTTTGAAAAAAAAACAAAAAACAAAAGACATCAGCTTTAACTTTTACAACATACTTGTTGCGGGGTGGGGGCAGTGTGGTATATTTCTCCCCCCCCCTCTACACACACACGCACGCATGCACACACACACACACACACACACACACACACAATGAGGCTCCAGAACACACACAGGGATGATCATGATGATGTAACACCTTGTTGTGCTGCTTCCAGGTATGGGACTATGAAACAGGGGACTTTGAGAGAACCCTGAAAGGTCACACAGATTCAGTTCAAGATGTTGCTTTCGACAGCATGCTGGGGAATCCTGTTCAAACTATGATGCTGAAATTATTGCACTGGAAACAGCAGTCATATGTGTGTTTAGATCTCTAATGCTGTTTACCCCTTTGTCACAAAATGTTTCATCTTCTGTAGGGAAAATATCTTGGTAAGGACTTTGATGACTGGAAATTACGCTGTCACAAGGGTCATATGCCAAGATAATCCTGGATGCCGATCAGTTTGTTACCTCATGTTTCAACATCAGAATAGGGATGCAGTGGATGCTTTCTGTTTGTCACCTATATGTTTTTGTCTCCAGGTAATGGCAGAGCTGTATGTTAGATCTGTATGCTTTCTGTTTGCAACACAATGTTTCAACTCCTGTAGGGCTTCTCTGTATGACAGGAAAACCTGTACGCTTTCTGTTTGTCACCTTATGTTTCGTCTCCTGTATGGCATCTCTGTATGTTAGATCTGTATGCTTTCTGTTTGTCACCTTATGTTTCGTCTCCTGTAGGGCATCTCTGTATGTTAGACCTGTATGCTTTCTGTTTGTCACCTTATGTTTCGTCTCCTGTAGGGCATCTCTGTATGTTAGACCTGTATGCTTTCAGTTTTAGAACACCATTATGTTTCCACTCCTGTAGGGGCATCTCTGTATGTTACAGCCACTGTATGCTTTCTGTTGCCACCTTATGTTTCTCTCCTGTACGGCATCTGTGCACCATTTTTCTTTGAGTGGAAAGTGATCTTTCAGACAAGAATATAGCTCTCCCTCCGAGACCAGACAGTTGGAACACCTTGTACGGAAATTGCTTAGATTTTCTTGGTGAAGTGATCAAGCCGTTCGCTTCCTGTTCTGAAGGAGGGTGTGGTAATTTATGAACATGTTTTTCAGTTCATGAGTGCAAATTTAATGGACAACCCTGGTGATCGTTGCTGGTGCTATGGAGCTTCTGCTTTTTATGTTTTGTTGGTACCCCAAATTTTACTGTATCTCATCAGTTGTTAAATCAGCACATAAGGATGTAGACCAATGAATCCTTTTCTCAGAAAACTATAGATCACATTGCTTTATTACGTTCTACCTCTCACAGCTGGAAATTCAAGTTTAACTACTTGATTACTGTGTCATTAATTTTTTAGCTCCATTATATATTGTGTGAACTGTAATGATGCACCTGATGAGATACAACAAAATATGCCTGGCAATAAATTGTGCAGTGTCTTGTTTGTATCCTCATTATTTATCTTCTTTTCCCCCACCCCCCCCCCCCCTCCTCCTTCTTCTTCTTCTTCTCCTTCTTCTTCTTCTTCTTCTTTCTTTCTTCTTCTTTCTTCTTCTTTTTTCTTCTTCTTTCTTCTTCAGCATTCCAAGCCCTTGAGGTTAATTTTAGCAGATTGCCTACACATTTCTGACCCCCAATGGAGTATGCCAAATTCTATCCTTCACTGTCACATTCAGCTCTCCCCATGTCCTCATCTATTTAACTTCTCTGTTTAGCTACATTCTCCATGCCCCCCCCCCCCTTTATTTCTATGCCCCATGTGGATTCCAGTGCAAAGACATTCTGGTTCTCAAATGTTCTCAGTGCGTGTTTCACATTTTTTTAAGCAGTATTAAAAAAAAAATTTTTCTCCTCCTTCTTCTTCTTCGGCATTCTGAGCCCTTGAGGTTAATTACTGCAGATATCACCTGCCTCTGTTCCTCTTTCTGGTTGGCCTCTCTTTTAATTTGGTGTCACCAAGTGTTTGCAGGTCTGCCTGGATGTTATCTCTCCATCGTCTTCTTGGTCTGCCTTGTGGTCTACGATCATTCAACTCCCTTGTGCATACAGTTTTTACCTCTCTGTCATCTGATATTCTCTCAATATGCCCCAACCATTTGAATCTATTAGCTCTCATGATATTAGTGATCAATGGTGATTTAAACAGATTTTGAATTTCATTGTTTCTTCTCACTCTCCATTACCCTCTGTTTACATCTTTGATGGGTCCAAAGTTTCATCATGAGACTCTTAAGAAATGTTTAATTTAGGCTTTGTCTCTTTTAGTTGGGCCTTGAGTTTCATAGCCATATGAAACAGCTGGTCTTATCAGCGTTTTATATATTCTGATCTTGGTGTTGCGAGACAGAGATTTTAGCAGATGTTGAAGGGCATACCTTACTTCATTTCCAGATTGGAGCATTTAAAGTTTGCATCCAAGTTTATTTTTTAAATATACACATTATTTTAATATACAGTTGGAAAACATTGTTTTGGATTGAGATAATAATTATGGTGTTTACATAAATCTGAATAACACAGCTTCTCCTGTGTTTCTATTTCAGTTTCATGCTCAGCAGATCTATCTATAAAACTCTGGGATTTCAATGGATATGAGTGTATCAAAACAATGTATGGTAAGTAGTTTTTATAGACATGTAGTGATCGAGGGGGCTGAGTGGCCTTGAGCTATGGCTTCCATCTCAAGTGCTGGAGGATCCAGGTTCAAGCTCAGGTAAAGTCTGGGATTTAACGTTGATTTCTAGTAACTGCCCCTGGTCTCTGAGTAGTAAGATCGAACACCCGTGTGTATTTTTGCACACGAAAAAAATACCTTGGTAGTTGGAAATATTTAAAAAAGTAGATTAATGGACAAAATTTGGATCCTTGCCGTTGCACTGCGCTAATATTCTTCGGACTCAGGCTTGAGTTAAAAGTAGAATGGAGCACTTGTGGGTTGCACCCGTGTGCCATGATATTGATCCGTTGCATAAACACCTATAGACATGTAGGACATTTACATGTAAATGGTAAGTGCAGACGAAAAAGAAATTAGATGAACATTGCGGTGGCTTTTGCATTTTGAGTTATTACATGGTGGTATCCTTTAGATATTTTCTCTCGGGTGGCTGGTGAAATGAGTGATGTAGATGTCTTAAAAGTAACTACCTCACGAAGAGAACTAATTGCTGACATTAAAAGGAGTCGCTCTGCAATCTTTGGTCATGTCATGAGAAGGAGAAAACTGGACTGCATCGTGACATGGGGAAAGTTAGAAGGGAAGAGAGGCAGAGAGAGAGAGAAGGAAGGGGGAGAGTGAACAGTTTGAGGTCAAGGCATAGAAGGTCGTAATGTCTGAATTAATTGAAGGTACATGAGACAGCAGATTATGGATAAACATGACTAGCAGTGCCACAGGGCATGGACTGTAAGAAGAAGAAGTCACATGATGATCTAACCGGCCCCCACCATGGCAGACATGAATAGCAAGCAAAGAATAAAAAAATAAAACAACAGGTATGATCTCATGCCACAAAGAAAATATGAAGACCAAATAACTGAACACAAAACAAGCACCACATTATAAGTGAAGCTGGTTGTTGATTGAACAAAGTCCAAGTTTTTCCTTAAAAAAAAAACACTTAACTGAACACATGATGATATGATGATCCCGGCTTGATAGCTTAGTTGGATAAACCTGACTTCACGGCGACCGGGTGACGAACTCCTTGTGGTCTGGGTTCAGGCCCGGAGGTAGGCAGAAAAGCCACATTTCTCCCAGAGTTACGGTATCTATCATGGAATCAAGGCCGAAGGTTTGGGATATCCATAGTACCAAGCCTAAGGGTTAACAACTCAGGGTTTCAGGATGCTTTACAAATGTTTTTTTTTTATAAAAACACATGATGATAGTAAAATAATGCAATTCTCCTGTCTGTTTCACCAGGACATGATCACAATATATCCAGTGTCACATTCATGCCATCCGGAGACTTTATAGTGTCCTCATCTCGAGACAAAACTATCAAGATGTGGGAAGTGGCCACAGGGTAAACAGTTGTCTGTTCAACACTGTGAAACAGTGTATTGTCTGTTCGAATTGTGAATAATGTTGTCTGTTTATTCATATTGTGAATCAGTTTATTTATTACCTGTTCATATTGTGAGTAAATTTATTATTTGAAAGTTGTTGAGAGCCAATTCTCCAACCCTATGTGCTTTTATAGCCAGTGCATCTTCAGTGTCTTGTATCCATATTCACGGAGGTCTGCCCCTGCCTCATTTTGAGACTGTGCCCTCCATCAGCAGGCCCCTATGACGTTTAACATGGCCAAAATACCTCAGCTCTCAGGGCAGGATGCTGTTTATGAGCCAGTTATCCTTAACACTAAAGAAATGTCTTGCAGTGTGCAGTGAAATGTAAAAATACAAGAGCAATGATTAGTCACAGAATGAATGTTGTGGCAGGAAAACCATTATCAGTAAAAAAAAATAAAAAGATGATAATGAAAAAAAAAATGTTAATAGTGGCGCATAATTGACAAACTGTTGCTGCCATTGAAGCATCAAGGCCTAGACTGTGACACTTCATTAGACTCTTGGCCTTAGGCAGATGGAGTGGATCCAAAGGATTTAACAAGTGGCTCAGCACCTTATACTTGGGTGTTCAAGAGATACATCATACAGGGCAGGACGATGCACCACCTTCTTGGTTTTCCAACAATGGAGGATAGAATACAAATTCACCGAGCAGGTGCCTAACTCAAAGTCATTATAGAAACACAACACCCGTTGCACAGTGAAATTGATAAGAAAAATGGCAGCAGGTTAAAAGGAGGAAAAACATGGATGGGTCGGGTCGAGGAAATTATTCTGTGTGTGTGTGTTCACTTGAGGACATAGAACTTTGTGAGGAATGGGTATAAAAACCAACAGAGTACTGTACAATCTCTTTTGTTTGTGCGTCTGACTAGACAGAAAATGTAGACAAGAAAGTGTGGCCGCTGTGGAGGCAGAAGTGCAGGCTTTTGATCTTCAAAAATTGTCTAGAGGGGGATGCTTTCATTAACACAGATAGGATGGTGGTTTGCCATGTGAAAAGCTCATGGGCTTTTACCACACAGGCTGAAGTTATAATTGTCAAGTAAGATTCTGGTGCAGTTGTCTTTACCACAAGCAGAAGGGCTGTGGAGGTCATGGCAGTGACCAAGGCAGTGATAGGGCTGGAGACACAGACAGAATGGGTATCCTTCTTCTTCGCGTTCACCAGCTGTAAACTCTGGCGGCAGGTGGCTCCTCCACTACTGAACTGCAGTCCTGCTAGAGAACCTGAGTGTTGCGTGTGCATCCATTTTACAGATCTCATTCTCTTGAATGCAGACTGTTGGTTCCTTGCCTCTCCGGCAGATGCACTCCGACTTCAAAGGAAGTTCCCCAATTAGTTGACTCTTACGACATGCTTTTGGTGAGGCAGTGGGTCTATTCTTGTTTTCCCCACAATGGGGCCCCGGAACCCACACGGGGGAGAATGGGTATCGTCAGTAACTACATGCCGCCAGATTTCCTGAGGAGGGGATCCAAGCACTTTTAGACTGAATGGTTTGATGTGCAGTGAGAATAATCTGTTGACTAACAAGCCAGCTACTAACTAAGAAGGTGTGATGGTCAGTTCCCATCAATTTTGTTGTTGTTGTTGCCATTTTTCATATACAAACATATTGTATATCAAAACATTTGTGCATAAATTTAAACCACCTAAATTGGTAGACCTAGCCTTCTGTGTATAAGCATCACAAACATTTATAGGTACTTTGTAATAACACTGATCATTTACATATTAACCACACCAAAATTTGTTGTAACTGTAGTCAGGGAGAAAACTGAAATATGTCGTGGCGGTAGGAAATTTAGAGGGGAGAAGGGGTGCAGAGAGAGACCTAGAATGGCTTGACGTCATGACATGTTAACATTGTAGCTACTGTGTCGAGACATGTAATCATTTATATGTTAACATTGTAGCTACTGTGTCCAGACATGTAATCATTTATATGTTAACATTTGCAGATACTGTGTCCAGACATGTAATCATTTATATGTTAACATTTGCAGATACTGTGTCCAGACGTGTAATCATTTATGTTAACATTTGCAGATACTGTGTCAAGACATGTAATCATTTGTGTTAACATTTGCAGATACTGTGTCCAGACATGTAATCATTTATATGTTAACATTGTAGCTACTGTGTCAAGACATGTAATCATTTATATGTTAACATTTGCAGATACTGTGTCCAGACATGTAATCACTTATGTTAACATTTGCAGATACTGTGTCAAGACATGTAATCATTTATATGTTAACAATTGTAGCTACTGTGTCTAGACATGTAATCCTTTATATGTTAACATTTGCAGATACTGTGTCCAGACATGTAATCACTTATGTTAACATTTGCAGATACTGTGTCAAGACATGTAATCATTTATATGTTAACAATTGTAGCTACTGTGTCAAGACATGTAATCATTTATATGTTAACATTTGCAGCTACTGTGTCAAGACATGTAATCATTTATATGTTAAATTTTGCAGATACTGTGTCAAGACATGTAATCATTTATATGTTAAATTGTGCAGATACTGTGTCAAGACATGTAATCATTTATATGTTAAATTGTGCAGATACTGTGTCAAGACATGTAATCATTTATATGTTAAATTGTGCAGATACTGTGTCAAGACATGTAATCATTTATATGTTAAATTGTGCAGATACTGTGTCAAGACATGTAATCATTTATATGTTAAATTGTGCAGATACTGTGTCAAGACATGTAATCATTATTTATATGTTAAATTGTGCAGATACTGTGTCAAGACATGTAATCATTTATATGTTAAATTGTGCAGATACTGTGTCAAGACATGTAATCATTTATATGTTAAATTGTGCAGATACTGTGTCAAGACATGTAATCATTTATATGTTAAATTGTGCAGATACTGTGTCAAGACATGTAATCATTTATATGTTAAATTGTGCAGATACTGTGTCAAGACATGTAATCATTTATATGTTAAATTGTGCAGATACTGTGTCAAGACATGTAATCATTTATATGTTAAATTGTGCAGATACTGTGTCAGAGACATGTAATCATTTATATGTTAAATTGTGCAGACATGTAATCATTTATATGTTAAATTGTGCAGATACTGTGTCAAGACATGTAATCATTTATATGTTAAATTGTGCAGATACTGTGTCAAGATGTAATCATTTATATGTTTAAATTGTCAGATACTGTGTCAAGACATGTAATAATTTATATGTTAAATTTGCAGATACTGTTGTCAAGACATGTAATCATTTATATGTTAAATTGTCAGATACTGTGTCAAGACATGTAATCATTTATATGTTAAATTGTACATACTGTGTCAAGACATGTAATCATTTATATGTTAAATTGTGCAGATACTGTGTCAAGACATGTCAATATGTTAAATTGTGCAGATACTGTGTCCCGACATGTATCATTTATATGTTTGTGCAATACTGTGTCAAGACATGTGCAGATACTGTGTCAAGACATGTAATCATTTATATGTTTAAATTGTGCAGATACTGTGTCAGACATGTACATGTAATCATACTGTGTAAGACATGTTAACATTTTAAAATTGTGGCAGATACTGTGTCAAGACATGTAATCATTTATATGTTAAATTGTGCAGATACTGTGTCAAGACATGTAATCATTTATATGTTAACATTTGCAGATACTGTGTCAAGACATGTAATCATTCATATGTTAACATTTGCAGATACTGTGTCAAGACATACACAGGACACAGAGAATGGTGTTGTGAATGGTAAAGGTGTACCAAGACATGTATCCTTATGTTAAATTGGCCAGTTCAAGCATCCATTTATATGTTAAATTGTGCAGATACTGTGTCAAAACATGTACTCATTTATATGTTTAAATTGTGCAGATACTGTGTCAGACATGTAATGTAAATTGTGGCAGATACGGTGTCCAGACACATTATTGTTAACATTTGCAGATACTGTGTCAAGACATACACAGGACACAGAGAATGGGTTCGAATGGTAAAGGTGTACCAAGATGGATCCTTGTTGGCCAGTTGCTCCAATGACCAGGTGAAAATTTACTCAGATAAAAACTTTCATGGTTGTAAAGACACACAATTGTGTGATATGTCAACCCCAAAACCCCACATTGGGGGGGGGGGGGGGGGGGGTTCATAGGTTCTGTATAATATAATATTTAACATTCACCGTTTTTGTTTCAGGCACTTATAACTTTGGCTATCTCAAGGATTTGTTACTGAAGCTATTTCAAGAAGTTGTTACTGTAACTTTCTTGAGGAATAGTTACTTTGGCTATCTCAGGAAGTTGTTACTTTAGCTGTCTTAAATAGTTTTTACTTAAAGCAATAAATATTTGGATCTCCAGTTCAGTTCTTCTTCTCTTCTTCTCAGTGTTGACCAGCTGTAAAGCCTGGCAGAAAGTTCTGGAAGCTTGCACATTTCTGGACTTTGCTCTTGTTCCAGATGTTGACTTCTTTTTTCTTCTTCTTTCGTTTGCTTGAAATAGATTATCTATATCTGCAATGTTGTCTCTAGTATGAACTTCACTGCCCTTTGTAATTCACTCAGCGACCCTTAAAGTTTGACTTGCACCGTAAAGTTTGACTTGCACCGATGTTTTTCTTGACGAAAAGTTTTGCCTTGAAATTTTGTATTTAGGACAGTCTTGGAGGACGTGATCTGTTGTCTGAGGTGCCAGTCACATGTGAACAGAGCTGATTCGCAGATTTTAATTTTTGTGTACATGTGGCTATGAAGTTGATTGTGTCCTGTTCTAAGGTGTAGAAGTTGACAATTTTGCATGCACATTGATTTTGCAGAGTGATGTATTTGTGTGCAGATTGTTGGTTCCTTGATTTCAGGCAGATGCACTCTGACTTGGAAGGAAGCATCCCTGTTTAGTCGCCTTTTACACCATGCTTGTTTGGGGTTTAAACAACGGAATCAACATCATGGCACAAGGGTGGTAACTCTTAAGTGCTCTGATCTGCTTCTAGCTCGAGCCTGAGTCCGAAGAATCTCAGCACAGTGCACAAACTCCTTAGCACCAGGGGAGGATCCTGAAATACTTTGGATAGATTTTTAACTCTAAATCTTTGCCCCGGCTACGCCGTTAGGCTACTCTTTTCAATTTCCAACTGCCGAGGGATTTTTTTACGTTTGCAACATCACACACAAGCATCCGATCTTCTACCCAGAGACCCGGAGAAATTACTAGAAGTCCACGTGAAAAAATCCCAGCCTTCACCGGGACCTCCAGCACTCGAGGCGGACGCCATACCTCGAGACCACTCAGCCCCCCCACGATTCCTGTAGAAAACAAGGAGGATTGAGCTGGAAAGCCCTGATTGTCTTCCTTGGTGATTGTAAAATAGTACATAGTTCATGTCTGTGTGTTGACTGACATACCAACTGTTGAACTAGCTAAATACTGATGCTGCACATGAATGTAACTGGGATCGCTAACCTTACGGTCAGATGTTTGATGCAGGACCATCATGTGTCTTTGTTCAATCTTTAAAAAAAAAATCTTTTCATCTTTTTCTTTATCCTTTCTTCGCCATCTCTTTTATCATCTTCCTCATCTGTCTGTATCCACAATTGTAAGACAATTGAAATAATTTGGCCACATTAAAGACAAAGCACTTTTAAAAAACATACTGCAGGGAAATGTTGAAGGCACATGATGGGCAATGATACAAGTGGGAGGACAACATGAAGAGATGGACGAGCAGCAGTCTGAGAGAGAGAGTATACAGCCAGGACAAAATACAAGGCATGCTGGAGATCCATTGTAGCCAACCTTTACTGCGGAGATGGCACCTGATTGATTGATTGATTGATTGATCCATCCTCATCTGTCTCTTTATTCTCTTTTCCTCATCTCTCTCTTCCCACCCCTTGTTCCTCCCCTTTCCTCTGTCAGTTGAGACTTACTTTAATCATGCTTTTCTGGCTCCCATAGACTGTCAGGGTGTGGGTGACAGCCACCAAAGAATGTAAGGCGGAGCTTCGAGAGCACGAGCACGTGGTGGAGTGTATAGCATGGGCCCCCGACTCAGCTCAGCCTGCTATCTGTGAGGCTGCTGGAACAGAGGTGAGTACTACTGCTGCTGTCTTTCTCTTTAACACAAATGAAGAGCTCCTTGTTTAATAAATGAAAATTAGAAAAAGTCTTGCATGTTTTAAATTAAAAAAAAGTTGGTTGCATTTCCTTTACAGTAGTGCTCCTCACCCTCTTTTTTAATACCCACCCAGACCACCAAAACATGTTCCTGTATTGTCACACTCAACAGGCGATGTAGAGAAGAGAATCCTGTTGCTGTTAATGCAGAGGTCAACGCTCTCATCGGTGAAAATTCAGACGAAGCAGATGCAATAATCTATACAGACGGATCCGTTATACGCTCAAAGAAGAGCACATGGCATTTACAGCACGCTCAGCGGGCAAAACACAGAGGAGCAAAGAAGCCAACGGCGCCTTCTCCATGACAACCAGCAGCATGAGCGATGGAGGTGATGGCAGTGACGCAAGCGCTTGCCTGTCTTGAAACACAAAAATACATCTGCGTGTGTGTTTCCAGTCCATCTGGTAGCTCACTGAACACAGGGACAATGATTCAATGAGTATTATCCGGAGGGTTCAGGCAGGTTCAGTGCGAAGACAATGGCTTTGAATCATTACAGAAGTCCAACTGTGCGTGGAGTCACCTTTATTTCCATCTGTTCACGGGGATACGCAGGCGTCGATGGAAATGAAAGAGCTGACACAGGGACAATTGGCTGGTCCATCCGCTATCACTGAACACAGGGACGGTGTTATCAGTCCATCTGGTATCAATGCCCTCAGAGAAATGGGAAGGATAGAGGACAATTGTGGCAGTGAATCCACAGCTCACTGAACCAGGGACAATGGCCAGTCCACTTGGGAAGCTAAGATCGGGACACAGCAAAAAAACACGAGACGCACACCGGAGCACGTGAACACAGAAGACTTGTTTCCAGTCAACATAGAACTGGTACTATTAGCCATCGGAACTTGGGGTTTCATACTGAGGGGAGGATCTGTTTCAGTCCATCTGGTAGCTCACTGAACACAGGGACAATTGTTTCCAGTCCATCTGGTAGCTCACTGAACACAGGGACAATTGTTTCCAGTCCATCTGGTAGCTAACTGAACACAGGGACAATTGTTTCCAGTCCATCTGGTAGCTAACTGAACACAGAAACAAAAGCAAGTATAGATAGAATGAAAAGGCACAAGTGTTCGTGAACTGCCATCACTTCAGATCACTGTGGCAGTATCTCCTGTTACATCTGTATCACCTTTCACAATCTTTGTAGGCAGTTTGATTGCTTTTGTTACTTGTTGTATCCACATCCTGGCACATCGATCCGACCTACTCATGCTCCGTCATTCTATGTCACAGCCATCTTGGTGTCTCCATGCTCAATGTACACAGTAAGAGTTGATTATCATTTTTTCTTTCTTTCCCCCACGACCTATTTCTGCAGGCGTGTCATTCATTACCCATTTCCCACAGGCGATTTTCATTGATCCTGACTTCTTTGTCTCAGAATCTCTAGAATGCAGACATGGCTAATCTGTTGACTCTTTCATTTCCTTTCACCCCATTTGTAAATGTCTATTGCATAATACATGTGCACACTGCTGGCTTTGCCAGAACTGCTGTCTGTTCAACATTTAACATGGGATAGGAATATGCATTGTATGATTTTTCCTGGCACAGGAGCAGAGCAATGATACGTGTTTGCTGCCCAGTTGTAACTGCGATTAGTGACTCATAATTGGTAAGTTGTCGGCTCTGTGGCTAAGTCGATGCGAACGCTTCGTAATGCCGGGGTACCGGCTTCAATCCCAGCTCTGGGCCATGCGTCTTGCATTGGTTTTGACAGTGATATCAGGGTACCGACCGACCAGAAAGAAATGGCAAACCACTAGACGTAAATTTGCCTAAAGAAACCACACAACAGCCAGAGGCTGCTGGGGTTGGTTCTGCAACGTCCTGCAAATGATACGCAACTAACCTTATTGGTCAGGTTCTTTTCTTTAAAGCTGAGCGCATCTGCCTGAGAGGCAAGAAACCAAAAGTCTGTATGCAAGTAAGCCAGATCTGAATGGATATGCACATAGAATTCAAGTTCTGGAACAAGACTAAAGTCCAGGAGGGAATTAACGACAACTTTCTACAGGAGTTTACAGCTGGTGAATGCAAAGAAGAAGAAGAAAAGTTGAGTTGTTGTATTTTCTTGCATGATAGGTAAACATGTAGTAGTAGTTTTTACACAAGTGTCCTGTTTAACCCTCAGGGTTAAATTGTGATGTAAAGTGCTAATTTATTTTTGCTACTTTATATATCCTAAATAATGTTCTTTCAGATATTTATACAAATAGTATCATTATAAACAATTATAATCAGGTGATGTATATTCTGTTTAGAGTAAGAATGCCAAGCGTTCAGGGCCGTTCTTGATGTCTGGATCCAGGGACAAAACTCTGAAGATGTGGGATGTTAGTATCGGGGTGTGTCTCTTCACTTTGGTAAGTGTTGTTTTGTTATTTGATGAAAGATTATAATAGAAGGGCTGGGTCCAAAGACATTGGTTGGAGTCTCTAGAGCGGTCGAGTTTGTCACATATCAGTTTCATATTTGTGCCAGGGCACGCAGGTGTGCGAGGAAATGAGCAAGCTGATCGGCTTGCAGGTAAAGCTACTGTAAAGGGCCGACAAGCACTGGACCATGCTGATATTCTGAATGCTCTGTGAGAAGTAAGATGTTTCTGAGAACCATGTGATGATCATGAACCTGCAACCATGACCAGACTGCAAGAACAGCATGTTAAGAGGGTGTGGCCAGACAAGAGTGCTATGCAGGAAGCCACAGAAAAATAAGAAATCGACACAGAACTAGTATAGTGAGCTGATGTCCTGCATTTCCCGGACATATGCTGATGCTTGATATCCGCTTCTGCCACATTTGTCCATTTTAAACCCTCCACAGTACCGACTGAGAATCATGCATTTGTTTTTGGATACCATTGTACACACCACCTAATGTTTGTATACTTAACCTAATGTTTGTACACACCACCTAGAGTTCATATACATCACCCAATGTTTGTATAATACCCCCAGGCTGGTCACGACAACTGGATCCGAGGGGTGGTGTTCCACCCGGGTGGCAAATACATCCTGTCAGCATCCGATGACAAGACTATCAGGGTGTGGGACATACAGAACAAGCGGGTTCACAAGGCTCTGCAGGCACACCCGCATTTTGTCACCTCTATTGGTGAGCTTGTCATACTTGTTTATGTATGTGTGTATGAGCTGGGCTGTGTATGAGTTATGAGTTGGGTTATGTTGTAGTTATGAGTTGGGTGATGTGTGAGTTATGAGTTGGGTTATGTTGGAGTCGTGTTTGAAATTATTAGGTTTGGTTATTTCTGAGTTATGAGTTGGGCTATGCTTGAGTTATTAGTTGGGCTATGTATGAGTTGGGAGCTATGTGTGAGTTATGAGTTGTGTTATGTATGAGTTATTAGTTTTGACTATTTTTGAGTTATGAGTTGGGCTGAGTATGAGTTGGGCTATATATAGGTTGGGTTATGTAAGAGGCGTCAGTTGTGCTCTGAATGAGTTATGTTTGAATTATTTCCGTGGCTTAGGAGTTGCAAGTCCGACTCGTAATTCCAATGTACCGTGATCAAAACCCACTGCTGGCTGCCTGGATTTCTATCATGGAATGGGGCATCACAATTCGACCCAGTTGAAAATGGGTACCAGGATGTATGTCCTATGGTAGTAAAGACGGTCGGCATAATGCTGACCCACCTAGTGCCCATTGGCTTGTAAAAAATAGGTGCTCTTTCCATATTCCCGATGCACCTAAAGGCCTGAAAAGGGTTCTTAATTACTTTATGAGTTGGATAATGTTTGAGTTGGGAGTTGGGTAATATACTAGTTACCTTTTGTATGAGTTATGAGTTGGGTAATATTTGAGTCATGTTATGCAGGAATTTGAGTCATCTTATGCATGAATTTGAGTCGGTAATGTATGAGTTATGAGTTGGGTAATATTTGAGCCATGTTATGCAGGAATTTGAGTCATCTTATGCATGAATTTGAGTCGGTAATGTATGAGTTATGAGATGGGCTGTGTATGAGGTATGATTTGGGCTGTGTATGAGGTATGATTTGGTCTGTGTGTGAGCTATGATTTGGGCTGTGTATGAGGTATGATTTGGGCTGTGTAAGGTATGAGTGGGCTGTGTATTATGATTTGGGCTGTGTATTAGTTATGTTTGCTGTGTATGAGGTATTTTGAGCTGTGTCTGAGTATGAGATGGGCTGTGATGAGGAATATTTGGGCTGTGTATGAGGTATGATTTGGGCTGTGTATGAGTTATGATTTCGGCTGTGTATGAGTTATGATTTGGGCTGTGTATGAGGTATGATTTGGGCTGTGTGTGAGCTATGATTTTTGAGTGGGTTTTTTTTTTTGAGTTATGAACTGGGTTATGTTTGCAGTTGAGTGAGGCTGTGTATTGAGTGCTGAGGAGTGGTTATAAACATTGGGCTTTCATTCAGGACATTCGGGTGTGAATCCACAGTAAGGTGGTGAGCTCTTCTCTTGCAGAGGTGAAACCTACACATTTAGAGGCGAACGCCTGAACCCTTTGAGCTTAAATCCTTGGGCTACAATTAAGTAACATTTTATTATATAAGTTAACGGATTGGCGAATCTTCTTCTTCTTCTGTGTTCACCCTTAAAAGGGTTGTAGACACATTATGTTGCGGTTGACAGCTAGACTGTGATGTCTACACCTTTGGGCCCAACACATCCGAATCTGAATTAGTCACATTTTATGACATGCTTTTTAAATGGGTCTGTTACTTGTCCACAAGAACGAGGTCCTGGAAGACACAGGGGAAATATCAGTTTATGAATGGGTAAATGATAACCAAATAGAGCAGGTTATGTTGGGACTTGGTCGTCCTTTAAACTTGCTTTAATCATTGTGTGGGTAAATAGCATGCTAAGTTAGGTTTGGCATTTCTTTATCAGTTCCATTCCCCCCACCCCCCCCCCCCCCCCCCCCCCCCCCCCCAACCCCCCCCCCCCCCCCCCCCCCCCCCCCCCCCCACCCCACCCCCACCCCCCCCCACCCCCCCCCCCCCCCCCCCCCCCCCCCCCCACCCCCCCCCAACCCCCACACACCCCCCCCCCACCCACCCCCCCACCCCCCCGTTCCCCCCCCCCCCCCCCCCCCCTATGGCTAATTTTCCTTCATAATTTATTCACAGATATGCAAAGGAATGCGCCGTATGTGATCACCGGAAGCGTGGATCAGACGATCAAAGTGTGGGAATGCCGCTAAAGGTTTGCTCAAGCTTGTTCTGACGTTCTAGAGATAGCAGAACTGAGGTGGACTGACTAGACAACAAGCAGTAGAAGTACATGAGAGAGAGAGAGAGAGAGCTGTCTCATAAAGATAACGTTATTTCTATAGTTCTTCTGCCAGTTTTTCCCCCTTTGAGTTTTCGCAGTTTCTTTCAGAATAACAGGAAAAAAAGCGCCAGGCTCTGGCGTGTCATGTTTGGCCCTCTCCTTTTCTTGAGACCCAATAAAAACAACATTCCTTATATGCCAGATTTTGGAGAAATGACAAGCATAAATTACATGATTCTCTGCAGGCCTTTCATGCCTATTTTGTTGGCCCTGGATTCAAACAGTTTACTGCTTATGCTTCTCTCTACCCCACTTTTTTGTTTTCAACAATGTGGTTGCATTACTGTAAAAATTGTTAATTGCTGATATCAAATTAAATATCATATTAAATTCCAGTGTTTCAAGAACAGCATTGGGAATACCATTTCTTTACTTTTGAAAGGAAGATTTACCCAGTATCTGTTTACTTTCGAAATGAAGAATTACCAATATTTTGTTTTTTAAATAGTAGAAGTAAAGAATTATCAATATTTCTTTACTTTTGAAATGAAGACTCACCAGTATTTCTTTACTTTTGAAATGAAGAATAAAGAGACTTGATAGCGTTGTCATTAACTCTTTGATTCCCAAACAGTTGTTACTCTTCTCCCTTCTGTTCCAAGGAGCTGCAATTAAAGGCAGTCAGTACATAACATTTGAAGGAGTTCATCAGAGACGCTATGCGACAGAAGTGGTTCAAATTATAATTCAGATAGTGAGAGTTAATATAACATCTGTCTGTGTAGCAAAAACATCATATTATTTTTACTTTGACAAGAAAGAGCAAGATAGTGTACAACGCAAAATGGCCACCCTCAGTTATATTGATGAAGAATACCCACAAGAACAATGGGTGAGAGTCTATACAGATGGGTCCGCAGAAAGTGCAGTTAGAAATGGTGGTGCTGGAGTGTACATTCGAATTCCCAGATTTACAAGGGATAAGTCCAGCGTACCCAACCGGGAAGTACTGCCATAACTTACGATGCAGAAACCCCAGGCTATTAAGATAGCTACAGAGAAACTGCTAAATACCAACCTTGGCTTCACAGTATGTGGTAATGCTTACAGATGCTAAATCAGTACTTGAAGCACTCTCAGTATAGGAAACTACCATAATTGCAAACACTGCTGACACAACTCAGCGTTTCAGCGAAGAGTCGTAATGCAGTGGATACCGTCTTCATTGTGGAGTGCCTGGAAATGAGAAAGCTGATCAACTGGCAGGGGAAGGTGCGACAAAAGAGCAGCCAGATGTACCAGTCACATACCACCAAAAGAAAAGAATCATTAAATCGATCAGGAAACCACCATCCCCAGCACAAGACGACTAGTTTATTATGGACAGACCAGAACAAGTCATTATCTTCCGCCTCAGAACAGGGCACAACCGATTACGTAACACCATGTACACAAAATTCAAGATAGGTGTATCAGCCATGTGCACCTGTGGAAATGTGCCCCAGACCGCAGAGCATGTACTCCAGGACTGCACCGATTTTGACACATTAAGGCAAACCTTTTGGCCAGAAAGAACAACATGGAACCGTAAACTCTATGGACCACTGAATGAACTAACAACGACAGTGAAATTTATACAAGAGACAAAACTGCTGATATAGATAACTTATTTCAGGCGAACGAAAGAAGAAGAAGAAGAATATTATTTTTACAATGAGCTAGGAACGTATGATGAATTGACTGCTACTGAAAGAGTTGACGCTTTCTTTACGGATGCGGCTCACTATACGTTCTTTGGCTAGTTCAGGGAACCGACATCTTTTATCAAAGACAGGTGGTGTATTGACCCATTGGGCCCAGATTGTTAGTTTGGCTCTGTCTGTTTCTTCTTCCTTGATCCTTCTGTCAGAAAAACTTTATACCAGGAGGCCCGTTGCCTTGGTGAAAGCTATTGTGCTGTCCACATCTCCCTCTATACCATGCAGCTTTGTCTTGATGTTGGAAAAAAGCCAGATGACCTGTCTCAGCAACATATGAAGTGTAGAAAGTAAGTACTTCTAAGTGGAAGCACACACAGCAGGAGTCTGCCAATCATCAATGGAAGTCACCCTTCAACAAATTGTTCTGCCCGTTTATGCCCTATGTGGGAGATAACAACACACAGTGTTGGAGTACATGCTGAGCATTTTCATTCTGTGTTTGCTGGTGGTATTTTTTCTACTTCTTTGGACTCAGGCATCAGCTGCTTCAACTCTTTCGATAACAGAGGGTAGTTAAATTAGTAATAAATCAACATGGGGTGTGTCTCTTAATACCTAAAGAGTTAACCAGAACTTTTCAAATTGGAAAAGAGTTACCAAGAAGGCCAACCTGAGTAATATAGGCCTGCAGAAGTCTATGTGTCACCCCAAAAGCCTGACTATAACAACCATGTTGTAAACAGGCGCAACACATTTACTTCTTCTGAGGAAAGCAGAAGAAGAAAGCAGAAAAGGTAGCATAACTGCTAGCTGGCACTGAAACAGATTAGACATCTTGATGTGTCCACAAATTATCTCAGTATTTATAAAATAGACAATCATTGATTGTAAAGGGACAGACATAATATGCTTTTTTGCCTCTGAATAATTGCATGAGCGCCCTCAACCCTTATGACCTATTTTTCAAGGTTGCTTCATTTCCAAGAAATATGTTTCTGTTCATCTTCTTTTTCTGTGTTTGTGCCATTTGAAAGGGCGATTGCCTCATTGTGGTGTAGTTTACAGCTGGGCTGCGATATCTGCACCTTTCAGCCCTACACAACCAGTTTTGGCAAATTCCTAATTGTTCACCTTCTGCAGCTGCTTCTTAAGGAGATTTTTGTCTGTTCCCCAGAAACTACACGATGAAAAACGTTTTCTGGTTGACTTAGATGTTTTCATTCAAAAGTAAAAAGGAAGCCTTTTTTTTTAAACCTTCCAATGTAAAACACAGGTGTATTTCACCGGGATGCTTAATCTTGTTTCAAGAAAAAAATCCTTAAAAGCATTGTCTTGTTTTAGGTAAAACATCTGTAATTTACTGTCATGCATTTTCTTTTTGTAGGTAAAATACTTTTTTTTTGTTTTTAAACTAGGAAACATTATCTCATTTTAAGTAGAACTTCTGTCTCACTTGCCTAGACCCTGTCTGATTCTAAAGTAAAACACATTTGTCTGTCTCACTTGCCTAGACCCTGTCTGATTCTAAAGTAAAACACATTTGTCTGTCTCACTGGCCTAGACCCTGTCTGATTCTAAAGTAAAACACATTTGTCTGTCTCACTGGCCTAGACCCTGTCTGATTCTAAAGTAAAACACATTTGTCTGTTTCACTTGCCTACACTGTCTGACTCTAAAGTAAAACACATTTGTCTGTCTCACTTGCCTAGACCCTGTCTGATTCTAAAGTAAAACACATTTGTCTGTCTCACTTGCCTAGACCCTGTCTGACTCTAAAGTAAAACACATTTGTCTGTCTCACTTGCCTAGACCCTGTCTGATTCTAAAGTAAACACATTTGTCTGTCTCACTTGCCTAGACCCTGTCTGATTCTAAAGTAAAAACACATTTGTCTGTTTCACTTGCCTACACTGTCTGACTCTAAAGTAAAACACATTTGGTCTGTCTCTCACTTGCCTAGACCCTGTCTGATTCTAAAGTAAAACACATTTTGTCTGTCTCACTTGCCTAGACCCTGTCTGATTCTAAAGTAAAACACATTTGTCTGTTTCACTTGCCTAGACCCTGTCTGATTCTAAAGTAAAACACATTTGTCTGTCTCACTTGCCTACACTGTCTGACTCTAAAGTAAAACACATTTGTCTGTTTCACTTGCCTACACTGTCTGACTCTAAAGTAAAACACATTTGTCTGTCTCACTTGCCTACACTGTCTGACTCTAAAGTAAAACAACATTTGTCTGTCTCACTTGCCTAGACCCCTGTCTGACTCTAAAGTAAAACACATTTGTCTGTCTCACTTGCCCTAGACCCTGTCTGATTCTAAAGTAAAACACATTTGTCTGTCTCACTTGCCTAGACCTGTCTGATTCTAAAGTAAAACACATTTGTCTGTCTCACTTGCCTAGCACCCTGTCTGAAAGTAAAACACATTTGTCTGTCTCACTTGCCTACACTGTCTGACTCTAAAGTAAAACACATTTGTCTGTTTCACTTGCCTACACTGTCTGACTCTAAAGTAAAACACATTTGTCTGTCTCACTTGCCTACACTGTCTGACTCTAAAGTAAAACACATTTGTCTGTTCACTTGCACACTGTCTGCCTCTAAAGTAAAACACTGTGTCTGACTCTAACTGTCTGACTCTAAAAAAACACATTTGTCTGTTTCACTTGCCTACACTGTCTGACTCTAAAGTAAAACACATTTGTCTGTTTCACTTGCCTACACTGTCTGACTCTAAAGTAAAACACATTTGTCTGTTTCACTTGCCTACACTGTCTGACTCTAAAGTAAAACACATTTGTCTGTCTCACTTGCCTACACTGTCTGACTCTAAAGTAAAACACATTTGTCTGTTTCACTTGCCTACACTGTCTGACTCTAAAGTAAAACACATTTGTCTGTCTCACTTGCCTACACTGTCTGACTCTAAAGTAAAACACATTTGTCTGTCTCACTTGCCTAGACCCTGTCTGATTCTAAAGTAAAACACATTTGTCTGTCTCACTTGCCTAGACCCTGTCTGATTCTAAAGTAAAACACATTTGTCTGTCTCACTTGCCTAGACCCTGTCTGACTCTAAAGTAAAACACATTTGTCTGTCTCACTTGCCTACACTGTCTGATTCTAAAGTAAAACACATTTGTCTGTCTCACTTGCCTAGACCCTGTCTGATTCTAAAGTAAAACACATTTGTCTGTCTCACTTGCCTAGACCCTGTCTGATTC